TGATAAATCAATCACCAAGGCTGAGGTCTCAAGAGAAGAAAGCAATACATGTGTTGGATGTAACAGGTCTCAGACTCCTACACTGAGACCAGCAGTATCACACTGTCTGGGAATATGCTAGAATTCCAGATCCTGGACCTTGCTCCAGGCCTGCTAGCCCAGCCTCCCCACTGGTTCTAGTGTGCCTAGGTGTGGAAACTTCTGACTTAGGAGATTAGACCATAGTAGTGAAATTGAGGAATGATTAGATTCTGATGGAGAGATGGCAGGCTCTAATTATGAATTTATTGTAGAGTCTGGGAAAAGGGAGCAACCACAATGTAGTCTGGAGGCACTGAGATGACTCAGTGGGTAGAGGTGCTTGCTGTGCAAGCCTGGAGATCCTCCTTTAATCCTTGGAACTCATTTAAATATGGAAAAAAGGAACCAACTCCACAAATTGTCCTTTGACTTCTACACACACACAGTGGCACACACACACACACACACACACACACACACACACACACACACACCTACTGCTACTACTCCCTTTTTAAAAGCAGGGTTCTCAGAGTCCATGGCTTGAGAAGCTGAAGTATGGAGTGTGGACTTGCCGGGTGAAGAAGGATGAGGTTAAGTAGGATTTCAGACAGATTAGAGTTCAGTTTTGCTGACTGTGCTAAGTAGCAATAATCTCTTTGAAGTCCTAAATGGAGACACTGAAGTCATACACTGAGGAGCGGACGAGAAGCTGAGACAAAGTTTTGCAGTTGTCAATATTTAATATACACATCTTTACATCATATACTTATGTCTATCTACATATTATGTGTGTATAATCTATTGAGCTATCAACTACCTATCTATGTATCATCTATCTACCTACCACCGGTATTTTTTATATCACTATCATCATCATCTCTCTATAATCTATCTATCTATCTATCCATCCACCTATCTATTTTGTGTATCTCATCAATTTCCTATCTACCTGGAACTATGTATCCTCTATTACATCTATCGTCTATTATCTGTCTATCGTCTATCCATCATCTATCTTTTATTTTCAGTCCTGAGAATCATCAAGCCAAGGCATTGTGTATGTTAAGGAAGTGATATTTTATTTATTGATACAACGTCAAGGTCAATTTTGTGATCCTATATCTCTCCTCTTGTTTGGGTATTGTGTTTATATAGATCGTTTAAAATGTAATACATAATTAGATACAGATTATATAGTCAGATATAATAGTCAAAACTTATAATTAGGTTAGTTAGGTTTTAGATATACAGAGATGTATTTGAAATGGATATATATTCTTCAAACCTTTCAAAGACCTACAGAATATATACCATTTAAATGGTTTAGGGTTTTTCTTGACAGTGAGACACAACTGCTCCTGGCACACCAATTATAAGTCAGAAAGGAGGATTGGTATCGAATAAACTCATTATGGAGTTTGCCTTCAACATGTCAAGATTAGCCATTTGGGCAAGAAACTGCTCTTGATTGGACTTTTTGTTGCTATATAAACTGGACATGCAGGACCCACAAGAAAGTGACTGCTAAACTTACAAAACAAGATAGTACTGAAGGGTTCCTGCTGAAATGGAGAAGTATGCAAGACACACTGTGGCCTATAGACTGAAGATAGATGCCCCAATGTTACAGAGGAACTTTGGGTGACTGTCCAGGCAGAGAGATACCTCTGTCAGTTCTAGAGTTTATATATTATCCTTCTGTGGTCTTTGATGGAGTTGAAGACAGACCGTTATGGTTATAGTTTTCTTCAGTTATTATAAAAGATAAGCTACCCTTCTTTTTATTTAGACAGAAAAGAGAAAATGAGGGGGAGGTCCTTCTGTGTATATGTTTATCTTATTGGTTATTGAATAAAGTACTGTTGACCAATGAAGAAGCTGGTTAGGCAGGACTAGGAGTCAAGGAAGATTCTGTGAAATGTAGTAAAAGGAAGTCTTGTGATACAGGCAGGAAGTGTCATAGCAGGCAGACTCCTATATAAGCAAGGGCAAGAAGGAAGTCGTTCCTTTTCTCTCTTCTTCCTGCTCTCTGCTCTGCAGTTGCCATGTAACCCAGTTAAGTCTCATGGTTGTAGACTGAGCTAGCAAGTAAGAAATCCTGGGGATTGTCCAGCAGCATTGTACCTAATATAACTCTCTCTGTGTTACTTGGGACCTTAATGTGGCGGTGGGCAGAACTTGAGCAGAACTCAGGCGGCCTAGTGGAAAGTGCCCTTGTGGTGGCAAGGCTTGGGTGGTTAGAGTAAAGACTTATCATAACAAGTTTGTTCTTGTAGAGGACCTGGTTTGGTTCCCAGGACCCACATGGAGGCTAAGAGTCATTTGTGACTCCAGTTCCAGAAGATCTGATGCCCTTTTCTGTCTTCTTCAGGCAGTGTACTATGTGATGTTCAGATATATATGCAGGGAAAATATCCATACACATAAAATAAAAATAAATAAAATCTCAAAACAAATGACCCCCCTCCTAAAAAAGCCCTAAAACTTAACAGAATGGATGAAAGGCCAGAATAGTTTTCTAGAGTAGGGGTCAGAAGTTATAACCTATAGATAGACACTTCCTATTTTTTCCCACTTCCCTGATCTCTTTTGGCAATAAAATTTTATTGATACTCAAAAAAGGAAATGATACTTAATTAACTGAACTACATCCCCAGCTGAGTGATTAGCATATTGGTGATGATCGAAACAAGGCATAATTTGCAGACTGATATGGGTTTCTTTTCTCACAGTCATAAGATAAATCCTAGAAATGAATAATTACATTATCCATAAAAGTGAAGGGACTAGAATATTTGTTAATAAAACCTTTCTTTAGGTCTGTCTTCTTTCTCTGGAGGCTTGTATGAGCACTGGATCCTAATAGACAGATAACACCACCCAGTGATTAACTACTAAGTCCATTATGTTTCATATGATTTGTTGTTACATAGATTTATGCCTCTTTCAGCAGGGAGTAGAATTTGGAAGCCTGCTGAGGGCATCCTGAATATCTGCCTGTGGAATGCTCTTTCCTCATGCTTCTCTAGGAATCTGAGCTGTGCACAGTGTGGCTTTGTAGCTGCCGAGAGTCACCCTCAGAACTGAGAAAGGCTGTCAGCATGATTTTGCCGCTGACCTCACGTTTAAATCTGGGTTTCACCTGATTAAAGTTATGTGGGATTACACATTTTTACATGTAGTTACATTGTTATTTGGCACTGTATTTAGAAGGCTTTTCAAGTAAACTCGGGGATGCATTTTCTTTTATCAGTTATAAGTGCTATCTGCTTAAATGTCCTTCCTGGTTTTGATTATTTTCTTTAACTTCAAAGTCTTTCACTTTCATGCACAGCTTGCTTAGCATCAGTATATTTTCTTCATTGCCCTTTTGCCTCTGAGCATCACACTCCTCTGGCTTGCTCAGTGTCAATCACATCGCTTCCTTTCTCTCTCTGAGCTTCCAAGGAAAGAACCACCATTGGCAATAATCTTCCAGAGCTTTGTTCTCATGAGCCATACACCTAAACTATAAGACTTATATCTCAGAGAAGTTTAAATATATTATGATGCAACATAACAATTAATATATATTATATAAAACCAAGTCTTTGAGAATTTTATAAAATGTATTTTGATCACATTCTGCCCAATCCCTCCCCTTAACTCCTTCCATGTGTACCCCAACTCCCAAATTTGTGTTTTTTCTTTCTTTTTAAAATTTAATAATTCATAGATCCAGCTTGTGCTTCCCATGTACTCCTGGATATTGGGCCATCCATTGGAGCATGACCAACCACACCCTTGAAACACTGACCCTTTGTCCCCAGGAAGCTGTTTATGAACATAGGTTCTCATCTATGATTGGGGTTTCATGGACACATTTCACTCCATGTTAGAATGTGAATGTGGACTTGTCCAGACCTTGGGCTGGCAACTATAGTTTCTGTGAGTTCATGAATACAGGTGTCTTGCCATATCCAG